TGAGCCAGGGGGGGTGCCCCTGCGCGCCCCAGCCCCTCGCCGTGCCCGCCGACTCCGCCCGCTGTTCCCCGCCAGGCAATAAAGGAGGTGATACGCCCATGGTGCGGCTGCGAGGGCTTTTGTTCCGGAAGCGCGTCCCAAGGTCCGTCCCCCCGCCCCCCAACACACACTCCTGGTCCCGGGGGTTGTCCATGGAGCCCTCTGTCCGCGCAGACCCTCCTGGAAGACCGAGAGGTGGTGGCCTGGGGCTACATGTCCCCACCCGCCGGCGGGCACAGCAGACAGTGCAGAGGGGCCTAGGCCTGGGGGGCAGCAGGGTCCCCTCTCGGAAGCTTGCCTGCCCTAGCGCCCTCCCCCGCGCAGCAAGCCCACGCTGTGTGTGGGTGTGGGAGGGGGGGAGGGGTTCCCACAGTGCCCCGGGCTCCGGGCTCCCGGGCCTGCTGTGTTCGGAGGAGCCTGGCCCCCATGGCCGGGCGTTGGAGGGGATGCTGCTGCCCTGGCTGTGGGTGCGGGGGCAGGAGCTGGGCTCTATGTCCCCCTGGGGACTGCTGCTCCTGAGACTGCCCCCCCCCCAGGCCCTGGGACGGCAGGAGGCAGCGTCCACAGGGACATGAGGTCAGGTGGGGAGGAGGCCGGGTCCCTGCCCGTGGTGGGTGGGGTCATCCAGGTTGGGGGACTGGGACCCCCTAGAGGGGAGCTGACAGCAGGTCCCTGAGCGCCTCCTGAGTGGGGGGCGTGAAGGAGAGCTCAGTGGGCCTTCCTCCTGCAGGCAAGCAAGGGCAGGGCCTGGGGCCATCTCAGCCACCCTGTGTGCCCAGCCCTGCCCAGCAAAGGGGGGGGGGCAGTGGCACAGCTCTGACTGTGGTTGAATGAAAAGATGCCACTTCCTTTACCCAGCTGGGCCCAGGCTGGTGCTCAGAGGGTCAAGGGAGGCCAGTTAGCTCCTCTGGCAGCCCCAGCCTCGAATACCCCTGCCCTCCTGGCCAGGCACTGGCTCAGGGATTCACCCCCAACCCCCGCCAGGACCCTGGGATCAAGGCCTGCGATGCTGACCAGCGTGGCCGCCTCCCGCGTGCCTGTTATGTGCACCGTGTGAGAAACCACCACAGCTAGCGGGGTAGACATCACACGTTTAGGTCCTCGCCCGCAGGCACGTGGGCCTGGTTCCTGGCGGCAGCGTTCACTGCCCCTGGGCAAGGGGAGGGCACTCCTGGCTGCCCCCCCTCAGTCCCGCCCCCCTGAGTGCACTGTATTGGTTACAAGGAAGGACAGGTTCCCCTTGGGGCTCTGCAGGACGGGGTTCCAGGAGGTGGCATCCCCAGAAGGGGCCACATTAGGTTAGGGATCCCCCTTCCCCCCTCCACGCCCCTCGATCTCTCAATCCTCATCCATCTGGGCTCCGGGGAGGGGCTCTGCCATCCAGGCGGCCACTGAGGTGGGGTCCCCAGACCAGAGGGCAAGGCCTGGGCTGGCTGGGGGCCCCAGGGACGGGGTGGACAGGCCTGGGCAGCAGGTGGGGTGGGTGGTGTCCGCTTCCGGCTCCACTCGGTCAGTGCAGCTCACACACTGACCAGCCCAAGCCTCCCGCTGCCCTGCAGGCTGTGTGGGTCCCGGCACCCCCGCAGGTCCGTGCCCGTGGTGGGCATCAGGTGGGCTCTGGGAGCACCTCCTCACAGGCAGGATGCTGGTGTCTGAGGCATCCCACCTGACCTCCCAGCTCCCCAGGGGCAGCGAGGACTTGGGGGGCAGGAAGGACCAACCCAGGGTGTGGGGGAGCGGGACCCCGGTGTCTCCTTGCTCGCTTCCTCAGCGTCCGCTGCCCCTGGGCCCTGAGCCAGCCCCAAGCGCCATCCGGCCTTGGTGACCGGGGCCTCCGCCGGGCGGTGGGTCACAGCCCGAGTCATAAGCCAGCAGGTGAGACAGGCGTCCGATCCGAAGGGCTGGAACCGAGCGCAGACCCTGCCTCTGCAGCCCAGGTGCAGGCGGTTCCGGTTCCGGGATAGGGTGCGTCCAGGCCGTTCCAGCGGGGGCCACCCTCCCCCAGCTCAGCTAGGTCCT